CATATTAGAGTCTGCTTTTGAGCTGTCTATTCTGTTTCATTGATCTGCCATTGATTCTGTTTCATTGAGTTTTCAGCTATTTTAATTATTCAGATTATATGAGACAGGCATCTATGATGTTAAAAAGAGCCCTTGAAACCAAATTGATAGGGCTAAGATCCCAGCTCCATCAATTCATGTGACTTTGGGAAAGTCTCTTAATTTCCCTTTGCTTCCCTGTCCTCAACTGTAAAATGAGGATAATCATAGTAGCTACCTTTTATAGTTGTTGTAAAGATTCCTAGCACAAATAGGCATTCAATAAATGTTAGTTATTACTATCTTAGTATCTGGTACAGCAGATCTTCTCTAGTTACTCTTTCTAATCAAAGCGCCTTAACCAGTTCACCAACTCATTCTTCCTGGTGAAATTAGAATTAGTTTTTCAAGTTTCAAAAGGCCTCAAAGGATTTGGAGCAGGCAACATACTTTAATAAAAAGGAAACCAAGCTTGTAGGGGATATCTGAGAACCTAAGACTGTTCTGAAAAATAAAATCTAAAAAAAAAAAATTGAAAGAAAAAAATACTTGAAATCAGAACACCCAAGTTCATTAGTCAATGGGTGTGGGCTCTTGTGTAAATCACTTGGACTCCTAAACCTCTCTTTGTGTAGTCATTTAGGAATAACAACATATCTTCTGCTTACCATAGCACGTTGTGACACAATATATATAAACACTAGACACTTTTTGTTTTGTAGACACTAAAGCACTAAGCAAGTAAAAAGCATTTTTAATAATAACCCAATACCCCAATACCATCAGAAGTGGTTTCTTGTAACAAGGAGTTTAGAACCAAGAAAAGATGGCTTGGCAGAGTAGATGGAGGCAAATTTAGCTGGCACACAGCAACAGGGATGAGTAAGATGCTATTACACATAACCCACACATAATAAACTGTGTCAAGGGAGTGGTTTTGTAACAAAGAGAATTGATGGAATTTGTTCTCAAAGGAATCTGTCATATACAGAATCCAAGTATGTAAAAAAGAACACATGTAATTTTACAATTTGTGCATTACAAAACATTTGTAAGAAAAGCAGCCAAATTTTAACATTGCCTGGTTACCAGGGTGAGAGAGAGCGTGGAGGTTAAATAAATGCTTGCTGATTAAAATGCAATTTTATGCAAATCACAACTATCAGCCTTTCTACCCTACCAAATTTCTATCACATTTGCTTAACACAGAAGTTTAATATCAAGTCAGACCCAGGGAAACTAAGGGCAGGAATTAAAAATCATCTCTAACCTCATTGGTAGATCTATACTGGGATAGATTGTGTATCACAGGAAGTCTTCTGACAAACATAGACTGAACCCTGCCATCACAGACCAGCTACCAGGGCACTTCTTTCAGCAGAGCATATTCTTCAGACCAAGTCTACCTAGAGATTCTGCCTGAGACTGAAACAGATTTCTGGGCTGTAGCTAGTGAAGCGATCAAATTCACTGTTAGAGCATGGTGGTGCAAATGCACAAGTCTGGGAATCCTGGGCTGGCTTCTAACCCTGACCCTGCCATTTCTTTGCTGTGTGGCCTAGAGTACAAAGATCAATGTCTGTAAAGGTTTAGAGCCCAAGCTTTGGAGTCCACACATCTCTTACATTCCCATTTGCCAACTATGGAATTTGGGGCACTTACTCAGCTTCTCAAGCCTTACTTTCCTCATATAAAATGAAGATCCTACTAGAATCTACCTCAGAGTTGTTGAAAGCATTAAATGAAAGAATGCAGCTAAATAATTTAGCACAATCTGTAGAATATTGTAAATTCTTGATAAACTATTATTTAGCAAAATTATTGTTCCCTTTTCTGTACTTTGGCTTCTTCATCTGTAAACTGAGATTAGATATTTTCCAGCCATCCTTCAGCTCTTTACATTCAGTGAATGCCCTCCTCCATACTGAATTTAGCTTACTGTTAGATTCTTAGGCCAATTTGATTTAAGACAATTTGAATAGTTCCCTTTCTCTTCCAGCCTCTGTCTCTGAGTAGTCTGGATACTAGACAGCTGGGATAATTGGGTAACTTCTGACTTAGAGGACTGTTACTTAAGTCCTGACAATGATTTCCTGGGAGTGACCAACCACCTAAAACTTTCAGGAAACCATTTTTTGCAAGGATCAGGGCTCATTTGTTGAACTAACTGACTTGATGATAATTATCACCTGCTGGACAATCCAGAGGTCAACTTCTGGGCCTCAGGCAAGAGAAGAGCAAGACCACTGCCAACACCTTGAGAAAAGGTAGAGAAGAGGCAGTCTTTACTGACATGAGAGATGGATTAGTCTTTACACAATGACCCCTGTTAAAGGGAGTAGAAAAGGAAGCACTGCTTTAAAAAGTGTAATGGGGAACTTTCCAGAATTATAGCTACCTACCCTGAATATTTCAGTAATGTGGCATTTATATAAATGTAGGAGATTTTGCATTGGCGTTTTTTGCACTAGAGCTTTTATATCTTACTTTTTGGCCTTGTTGATAAGGAGGAGAGGACCATGCCTTTTTTGCTCCCAATGATTGTAGGTATTTACACTTCAGAGGCATGTTTACCTTTCTTTTAAGAGTAATCTAAAATGGTCCATTTATGGAGAGTCACAGAAAAATAGAATCATGTCTAAGCATTGAATGAAAGGGCTGAGGTATGGGCTTGAGAATGGTAATTAGACCCGGGTTTCCAGTTGGTTTATAAATATGTGTTGTTAAGCTGACCTCCTGCCAGCCTTTGATGCTCATAAATGGAGTGGCATGTGTGTGTTCTGGTGTGGAAAAGAGTGGAAATCTATAAGTGCTTTGCTTCTGTGACATTGTTCAAAAATTCTGCCCACTCACCTCATTTTTGGCAGTGGGATACACTTTCATGAGAACATGAGAAAGAAAGAAGGAACAGCAGGAGGAGGAGGAAAGCAAGAGAAAAGACAAAGGGCAAAGAGAGAGATAGCAGGTGTTTTAATCAAGCATTTCCATTTTCTAGCAAATTTGGCCCTTGCCCCCTCTCTTGACTCTGGTTCTTTCCCCACAAGACTTACTGAAAAGAACTCCCTCCTGCTTCTCTGAGAGGGGCCAGTGACCCTTTCCAATTACTAGGGACTCCTGCCCCCAGTTCCCCCTACACCAACAATAGTGTGGCTATTATGGCTCTCCCTCTTTTCACGAATCAGCTATGTTATTTCCAGTTACTCATTTTTAATCCTTTAAAATTTTCGCTTTCATCCATTGTAATCCTGGCTTTCTCTAATAAAGCCACTTAGCCCCCACAGAATTATTTTTTCCTTTCAGCATAGCTCTTCTCCCAAGCCCCTCACTCAGCCAATAAATGTATATGCATGCACACAATACACATACCAATTCTTTCAGAAACTCCAAGATTATCCTTGAGATATGTCAGCTCAATTTTACGAATTTTCAAATGTACTTTCAAGTGAAAAATATTGAGGATTCCTGTTTGAATCTGCTCTGAATATGAAAGGACTTGCTGAGGGCCTCCTTAAATATTCTCTTACCTTGTTGCTGAGGTTTGTTTGTTTATTTGTTTATTTTGAGTCCCACTTTGTGCTTAGAAATACCCAAACTCTTCTCTGAGAAAGTAGCTCCCATTTCCCTTCATTAGAGTCCTGACACTTCTGATTGTTCTCAAGTGTTGGTCGTGGGATCTGCCCAATTTCATCCCTACATTGTGTCTTCATAACCCAGAAGTCCAGCAGCCCATCTTTGGTAGCTGGGACTATGGAGTAGATGCAAGCCAACCAGTCCATGGAGATATTAAACAGGTGGTGTTGGTTTCAAGACAGATAAGAACGTCTTCTTAGTTTATGACTTCTACTTGGCCAGCCCGACTCAGGAGGCTTTTTCTAATGGCATGCTACCAACAGCCTGTACTTGGCATGCTTGGGTATACAAGTGTTTATGCACATGTGTGCATGTATGTGCATGTGTGTATACATCTGTGTATGTGTGTGTGTGTGTGTGTGTGTGTGTGTGTTTTGAGAGCAGGAAGCTGAGCAAGAACTAGGAAGGCATGCCTCATTGGCTGACTCAGACACACAGCCCTGGTGAGTTTGCATTTTTTAACACATTTTATACAATGCCTACAGCTCCTGTAGTGCCTAAGATAGGAATGTAGGGAGCAGTATCATGAAGTGGAGAGGATGGAGTAGTTTGGAGTTGATATGGGTGACATTGCATCCAGTCTGTGCCACGTAGCTGCAAAACTCGAGCACTCTTTTTAGAATAGGGATAGATGGCAACTTTCTCGTAAGAATGTACAAGTTTTGACTGTAGAAGACGTCTAGTGAATATTTGTGAATGGTTAAATGAATATTCTAAGAAGATACCTTAATTTCAGGGTCTCTGAAACACTGAAGCTACTTTCATATTCACCTACCCTTTCCCTTGACCACTATATTATTGATGAATATATATGTGTATGTTCCCCACTAAATTGTAACAAAAACAACTAGTATTTTAGAGTGCATGCTAAACACGAGGATCCAGGCCCAGAGATCTGTGTGCATTAATTAACCAGAGATTCCTATCTTTCTGTGAGGTATTGTTATCCCTATTTTATAGATTAAGAAACCAAAGCTCAGAGGGGGTTAGTATTTTGCCTCCTTGATACAGTCCCAAGTGGCAATGCCAGGGTCCACATCAGTTCTCATCCAAAACCTGTGCTGTGTTGTGCTGCTTCTGTGGGGGCAGGACTGCTTCCTAGTCCTGCATTTGCTGCAGCCTCTGGTATAGTGCTTCATAAACAGTAGGTGCTCAATAACTGTTTTTAAATGGTAGGTACTCAATAAACACTTAGCTAAGGATTTCAAAATCCAGCCTTCTCTCTCTAAAAGAAGCCATTATATCAGTGGTAAACATGAGGTCACAGAGACCTGAATAGCCATTGACCATCACCCAGCCCTTAATAAGAACAGGAAAATTAGCCAGCTCTTGAATTCTTTTCTTTTGAACAGAAAAATGAAAGAAGCGATTCAACAAACAACTTATCCTGAGGGATTCAACAAACAACTTGTCCTGAGCCACTATCATGATCCTACAGACAAGAAAGAAGTGAACAACAGTCGCCAAAGTTCTCAATGTTTCTGGCTGGAGCTGCTGAAGAGAAGAATCAAGTTGCCAATGGTCAGAGAGGCTGACCCAAGGATGAAAAAGTTCCATTATGCCCTGATCGATGGTTCCTCTCTGACATAATATCCTTATGAAATGACAATGGGAAGAAGGATGGAGGGTGCCAGGCATGATGGAAGGGACTGACAGATGGGGCATTTACATTTCAGCAGAAAATCTCAGAAGCATTGGAGAAGGAGGTCTGATTCCCTGTGTTTATTCAGTCCCTTTCTTCCAAGGGTCAACATTCTCTTACTCTGGGGACAGAAGAAGTCAACCCAAGAAGGAGGTTGGGTCAATTTCTTCAGTTTACAAACCTTTCTTCTATTTAACGGAACCTCTGGTTGTAGTCGATATTTTTGTTAAGTACCCAAGGGCTCATGTGTTTCTGAGAAAATGAGTATGCCTTTAGTTTCCTTTAGAGAGAGTCTAGCTTAGAGAGAAGAGGGAGTCTGTAATAAATTCCTACAAATCCGAAGTGAAAAAGACCTGGGGAGTTCATCATGGCTTGATAGAGGTTGGTACAGATAGGTTTTGTGAAATTGTTTGTGCATCCATAATTGTCCCTCAGCCCTTCTTTGCCTCTATCTGTCCATAGACAGCATCAGGGAGACCTGGTCCTCCTGCTGTGCGCTGGAATGGCTTCTTGGGGCCATACTGGGTAGCAGTGGGCACCTTTGATTTCCAGTGGCTCTGCCATTAATAGGACCAGTCTGACCAGACCTTCCTGTTATTATTCACAAAACTGGTTTCCAAGAATTTGCAGCTAAAGTGAGGGTGCAGGCAATGTGAATGTATGGGAAGAACATGCAAATGGGAGTCTGGGAACTCATGTGCTGGCCTAGTACTATCATTATTGTGCTCAATGAAAGTGAGTCACCCTCTCTGGACTTCTGTTGCCTTATCTGTAAATAGCTGATTTAAAAATTAAATAGGATGAAAGTGTCATTCTGTATAAGAACTATTATTAGCATTGTTGTTTTTATCAATATCAGTTCCTTAACTTGGATTTTATCTATCCTTCTGGCCGCCTAGCTGTCTGCGAAAGCTATTCTGGCCTCCCTTGGGGTGGTGTGTACACCAATATATTCAGCAATTTGCCAAATCAAGTTATCCTTGGAACTTTTACACCTTTTGGATGTGGCAGCATTTCTTTTCCTAATAGGTATGTAAGATTCCAGACAAACTAGAACTTGTGGGTAAGCTAAGGGGTGGAGAAAGAGCTAAATCCCAACAAAGGAAAGGATGGGAAAGCAGTCTTTTAAATCGTCAATCTAATTTGGAAAACAGATAAGGAAAATGAAACATATACATGTGTTTGTGGCTGTTCCATGCACAAACTTGCTTATTAGAACAGGCCAAAAGACTGTAGATCTCAAAGAATCCACTTGTGTCATCCATGAGGTATATGCTGTGTTTCTCAAGAGCAGAGGGATCTATAATATGAAGGCTAGGCCCCAAGAATACAGAGGCTGGGAACTGAAACCAAGAGACTTTTTTAGGTGAGCCAGGTATCAGCTGGGCCACCCTGCCCTCTTAAGAACTAGATAACACTAGCAGCACCACCTTTCCATGCCCCGTAGAAAGTCTCATATCCTCCACCAAAAGTTCTGCAAAGTTCTCATGGTCTCTGGCTTTGACATTGTGACTCCACTGACTCTTGTTCTCCACCCTGTATCTTGCATCTGTGGGTTTATCTTGGCTCTCTGTTAATTTGAGCCAGTTGGAGAATTTGCTCCTTTCCTTGATTTTCACACATAAAAACTGCTCACCTGAATTCTCTGTGAAGGTAGTCAAATATCTTGGTGGTTTGGCCCATAGGGAGTTTATCGCACAGTAATACAAACATCTTAAATGAAGTGTAAAGTGTACTAACGTGTTCTTAAAAGTGCTTTCTCCATCCTACACATTGACCAATATTTCACATATCCCTCTCTGGGATCCTCTTTTTCTCTCTCTTTTTTTAGGACTTCTGCCCTTTTCCCCATTCATTCCCCACCCTCTAAATTTTTTCATTTTCTTACAGAAAAGAAATTCAGCTCTTTATAATTATATTCCCCAATCAGCTAACTTCTGCACATCCAAGCACTTAGCTAACAATTTGGGTGAGCATCCTGGAGGGTGGGGATCAAGAGGGATTGGAGGATGGGGAGAGGGATCAAAGAAGAAGGGGTAGGATTATTTTATTGCCTCACTTCCCTCAGCCATACCACTGTTGTGATATGTCTTATTCATTCACTTATGTATTTCTTCTTTCTTTCCTTCCTTTAGTACATATTTATTGAGCACCTGTTATGTGCCAAACACTCAGAATAGAGAGTAATGTAAGATATGGTTCCTGCGTGTCAGAAAATGTGTTACAGGGAACCTGAAAGGCAATACTACTGACCGTTGAACAACACAGGGTTGGTGTGACAATCCTTCTAGCAGTAGAATATCAACATGTAACTTAAAGCCAGCCCTCCCTCTCCAGGGTTCCTCCCTGTCCACAGTTCTGCATCCTCAGATTAAACCAACCATGGATCGTGTAGTACTGTAGTATTTACTGTGGAAAAAAAAATCTGCATATAAGTGGCCCTGTGTGATTCAAACCCATGTTGTTCAAGGGTCAACTATACTTAAAAAGAGAAATAAGTGCAGAAAGTTGAAACAAAAAGGTATCTGTAGAAAATATTTATACTCATTGATTCAACAGATATTTGCAGAGGACCTAGTAGTGTGAGCACAAGGGATAGCAGAGAACAAAACAAAGTCCTTGTCCTTGTATAGCTTTCATTTTAGTGGAGAGAGACAGAGTAAACAAATAAACAAATATATACCATATCAGGTGATGAAGAATTATTTAAGAAAAGCAGGGTAAGGGGGACTAGAAGGTAGGAATGGAGAGTTTCTGTTTTATATTGGAGGGCCAAAGACAACTTCTTTGATAAGGGAAACCTATAATAGTGAGAGGTAAACCATGCTGTTATGGGGGAAAGTGTTCTAGGCAGAGGGAAAAGCCAGAGCAAAGGCCATCAGATGGGAATGTGCTTGACAAATCCAAACTAAACCAAATCTCTGGAATGCTGGCTTCCAGAAAATATCACTGAAGTGTCAACCTGCTGAGACAATGCTGAGTTTATTCTAACTGAAGGAAGGGAGAGCACTACCTTGATAGAGTCTTCATAGCTTCCTATGAGTGGGCAGGGCAACCTTACCTCCATTGGTTGAGAATGATTGAATAAACTGTGAGATACCATTGCCATAGATATACATCTCAGTTCACACATTCAGATGAGCAGAAAATACAACTTTAAAAAAAATTCAGTGCACTTTCTTGGTAGATTTTACCAGTGGGTGGCAGGCATTTACAGTCCTATTATCCATTCTCTAAGAGTTCATCTCAGTTCCAGACAGCTGATGAAATAAGGTACTAGGGGAAATGAGAAGGTTGGGGAAGTGTCATCAGGTTCTCAGGCACCTTCATTCCAAATGGTCTGTAGTGATTGGTTTCTGAAGGGCACAGCTGCACCTAACACCACCCCCTCCACACCAGCTTCAGCTGCAAGGCTTCTTGAGGCCAGGCTGTCTCTCACATTGATCTCAGCACATGGGAAACACTTATCTGGCTCCTGTCCTATGCTGAACTCAAGGACACTGTGACTATTTCACTCCCATCTGTGTAGAACCCCCACACAACCATCTGTCCTCTTACTCTTGAGTCACACTGGGCATGGGATAAAGTCCAAGGCTCACTACCTGTCCAGGCTTTCAGATCCCTCAAATCCACCTGAGTTCTCTTCTGAGTTCCTTGTGCCCTGTGACTTGGCTAAGGAGGATGACACAGAGCTTTTACTCCAGGAGTCTCTACCACTGAACTCTCTACTTAATCTCCCACGTTCTTGTCCATCCCCTACTCCTTTGGGGTGGGAAAACCTGCTCCTGCAGATCATGTATTCTTCCATATCCCTTTTGCCATGCACCTAGAATCTCTGCTTTTCAACCTCAAAAGCCAAGAATTTGATACTTTTGTTCTCACAATGCTTTCCTGAAGCCATCGGTGATGACCAAAAGCTAGGTTAAGTGGGAGAAGGCTGTGGGTGAAAAAGAAAGACTGGGAAGAGAGCACAGTACGGATTTCTCCTGTGACATACATTAAGGATGACGAGTACATGAGTAGTGTAAATACTTGGAATTTATATATATATAATAATTACATATACAATTTATATGTATATACATATGTATAAAACAATAAAGAGCATGCAGCAGTCTATGCACATTGTTTAGTTGTTTAATAAGAAGTATATATCATTGCTTTTATATAATCAGAAAAACCTAAATATTTAGAAAATGTATACATATACATTATACCTCCCTCATAGTATGGTTTGTGAGACCTGAATAAGATAAATTGCCATGGAAATTTTCAGTGTTTTAAGATAAAAAGATAAAAGTAGATAGAGACAGATATCTCCAAACTCTTCGAGTTCTATACATCAAATATGTAACAGCTTTTTGTATGTCAATCATACCTCAATAAAGTGGCTTTTTAAAAATAAGTAGAGATAGATAAGAGATGGATAGATGGATGGATGGATGGACAAACAGATGAATATGGAGATAATAGACAGGTAAAGATCTAGAAAGTTCACCAGTGTAATTGCCCATTTTTAAATCAGACATAATACTGCCCAAGAATGGGAACTGACCAGGAAGACCTATCCTGTTTTCTAAAATACCTGTGATTTCTCTTCATCCTTGGGAATTGGTCATGAGGCTCTTGACCTCGACTGCTTATCCCAGGGCCATCCCTGAACCTCACTATGCCTGATCCAAAGCTTCTCCTGATTTCCACTGTATCCTGCAGTCTCCCCCAACTCCAGTCCTTCCAGTATCACACCTCGGAAGCTTAAGAAGAAGAGGGTAAGGGATGGCATTAAATGTCAGCAAGGGTTAGAGTAAGGTCAAATTTGAGCTGAAGGAGTCAGGTAAGAATGTCAAAATGTTCCCAGCCAACCAAGCCCAGGTCTCTTGAAGACCACCTGCAGTAGATGTTAATTTACTATTACTTTCCTAGGGCCACCATTACAAAGTACCAAAAACTGGGTAGTTTAATACAACAGAAATTTATTCTTTCACAGTTAAGGAGGCCAGAAGTCAGAAATCAAGATGTT